TTATGAGCCTTACTTGTTGATGTCATTAGACCCCAAACTACTTATATCCATATTTAAGTAGTTTGCAGTGAAGTAAGAATTTAACGTAATTGTCTTCTTTCCTAATGAATTTGTTTTCTTATAGCCTCGAAGGGATAATTTCTTCTTCTTCTATTGTTGTTGTAGTATAATAATACGAATTAGGCTATTCAACTGAGAAGAATGAAGGTACACCTTTCAAAATTCTTTGTTCAAATGAAATAGCGTGCTTAACCACATAGTTTTCTTTAATTACCATTTATGTAAAGACAATCTTAATGCCTAATTTTGCTTGATCACAGTTGAGAATACACTATTTTAGCTTAGCAGGTGTTTGTGATAATTTTAACATGATTGTTTTAGTTTTTACTTCAGAAATTGCCTAAGGAGGAAATGCGTGCTTCCTATTGTTCATTTTTGGCGAAGTCAAAGAATAGAGGAATGAAAAGAGCAATAATCTTAGGATCCTCATTCTGAGTATGCCAGTCAAACTAGATAAATGACATTATCTTCATAAAACAAAGTTTTGAAAGAGACGTAAGAGCATTAAATACGATACCAGATTGGGCTGTGGATCAGCTAGGAATAGGTTAGTTGGTTAAAGATGCCCATTCTACATCCATAAAGAAGTCGCCTTTGTATATGCGACTATAACTCAAAGGTGACGTATCGAGTGTAGTAATTACCAATAAGTCAAGAAATTAAATTCGAAGAACTTTTAATGCTGGTAAATTGCAGGTCATATTTTCCATATGGACCGGTTGTGATTCCGAGAGAGTGAATGATGAAGTATCTAGGGCAACCATCCCTTGTAGTATCTATCAGTTCACCAGCTCCTGTGGAGTCAGTTAGTTATATTAGCCGTAGCTCTGGGAACTTAATTTTTCGTGCTCAGGACCACCTAACAGAGTGGTTAAATAGAAGTGTAATGAAAACTATTAAGAGCTCGATATGAGATCACCTGATCCAAACAAGATAGTTGTATAGTCTTAGTTCAGAGGGACTCTTCACCAGTACGCACCCACCGGAGCTCGAACCCAAGTTCTGCCGGCTACCAGATGAGCTCGCAGAACGTTGAGCCACTGGGTTCTGATCCAGTGGTCCATGAATTGCGACTTCTGCCAATTCGTTATATACATAGCGCACCGGCCAGCTAATATCATCGGTGGATAATTGACTTTGTCTCACCTGAATGTCAACTTTATGTCCACCTTTATCTCAGAAAAAATCTTTGATATTACTTTCACTTTACTTTCATTTAGGAAAACTTGTTTTCAAGTTTCTTTCCAAGTAGACAATTTCATCAACAGTAACTCAGTCTGAGATTTTTCTTCATACTCTAATCTTCTTTTTGCTTGACTTTCGTCTATTGAACTGAAATGAAGCTATTAAAATCTGAGGACTTTCCTGTCCTTAATGACTTCTAATATCTATAGATCTCCTGACCGTTCCTTTGACCCATTTAAGCAAATGAACACATCTAAGAAATGAATAGTGCCATTATTTTCGGGTTTTGTTTTAAAAATTTAATGATTCCCCTTTATAAGTTTGAATAAAGCAAGAGAAAACTGTTTTGACAAAATAAAATCGTTCCTTGATTTATTTCATTGGCTTCTCATCAGCTGTTTACAGCCTAAATAAATCACTATTAAGTTTATGTACAGATTTAGTGTTAGTTTACAGGAGACTCCATACTTACAATGGTGAAAGAGTTACGTATTAAGGACGAGAGGTGAATAGAGCGATGATTCACTAAAAAGTTGAGTGAAAATGTGGTGATTTCAACCCACCTTATTGAAATGAAAGACAAGCAAAGTTACATTATAGCGGAGGGGAAATGTTTGAAGCCGAAGATTACGTAATCAAACAACTGGGAAAGGAAAGACATTGAGTTACCAGGACAATGAAAGACTGACAAATGCTTCCTTATAACGACATAAATAGAGTTTCAGACGTTTGACAGTAATTACTGTGGCAAACTTGCAAGTATGTTAAAACTATTCTTCATAAAAACTTGATAATAACTGATGAGAAGCCGACGAGACCAGTGATGGTATCATCCTAATCTGTGCAAACTATTGGTTTTGCTTTACTCAGAATTTATGATCCCACGACATGAAGTGAACACACTCGACAACACCTCGGATCAAAGAAAACTAACAGGATGCTTTTATTTAGCCAAAATGTTGTGTAATCACATCAATCCGTCGTAAATTCAAAGAAGTCGGCGTTTAGTCACAACAAAACTGATGTATTGTAGTAATCCAGGATAAGAGATGATAATACAAATTAAATATATCAACCCTTTTCTATCTGACTAGTTTTTTAAACTTCAAAAACTGAATAAAAACAGAACTGCAATGGGTCGAAGTTAACCAGAATCCCTTGATGACGACTGAAGTTTTCAATAAATATCTACTTGTAGTCTTCATGAAAGGTAGATGTCATGATGATTAATGTACTCGGAGATCTATTTTATTGTCAAGTGTTTGTTTGCAGGGATTTGATTGGTCACAGGACTGATCACGAGCTATAATCAGTTGGAGAACCCCTGGAAACCAACGGGAAGTACTGGACAGCGGTTTCATCCTAGTGTCTCTACGAATTTTTAAATGCACGTGTGGTCACACATACATATGTAGGACTCATCGACCTTTGTAAGTTAGGGCATCAGGAGCCAAGTGTATCATCTGAATCCATTAATGGTGAAAAGACCTAGCTTTTTTATTCGGAAACATATTATTAGAAACAGGACATAAAATTGGTGTTTACGCTTCTTTTAAACCTATTTATAAAAAGTATTTTGGAAGCATCCTAAAGTTTTCAGAAGTCCTAGCAATTAGGAGGTTTAAACCACCATTATATGTTGAAAAACACTTCATCATCATACTAAGCCTTCCTCGGTAAACTGTGTTTTGATACCAGAGTAGATGTACTATTATGTCCCTTCTTTGGTTTATTGATCTTCTTTGTTAATTTAACCTTCATATAGCCTCATACTCCCTTAACACTTTATTATTTCCATATACACGTTCCTATAACATGTACCTGAGGGATCAGATTATTTGAAATCTGTTGAGCAAATATATTACACGATTCCTTACTCAGAATTGCTCAAAAAAGTACTATAAGCAACTTCAGGTTCATCCAAATCTTCAAGTGTAGATTTGCAGGGATTTCATTTGTTCCAAGTTGGATCACCGACTGTTCCAACAGCACAGATCGAATCCAGGACCTTCAGGTTACGAGACAAGACAGTTGACCAACCAATTAAATGCCTGAAAAAAAAACATTTTAACTAATCAAAAATGCCCATTAAAATTTTAAAAGAATGGTTACTGAAAAAGGAATACTCTTTTCGATAACTTCGACATCAGGTTCTACAGTTATATATACATAATAGTGAGTGAACATAATAGTGAACGAACAACATTAATGTTTAAATAACATCGAATCAATCAATAATATGAATAGATTACAGTTAAATAGCATCAACATAGCAATACACTGAATATCAGACAGGCAAATTAGGAAAGATAATAATACAAATTTATGAATTCATAGTCTTCACTGAAGGCTGCCCAGGGCAGTAGGAGTGGCTGGACTTGCTTTTTCTGCATATAAAGCACTGTTTTTTTTTCAGGCGAATCGCGATAGCCTCTACTGTCTGGGGTATTCGGTAACTGGATGTTACTGGCAATTATGTGGTACCTGAGAGATGATGACAGAATGATTCTTCAATGCTGGCTTTGTAACCGGTCAGTTTGTACCAGCTGGTGTAATATCGAACTGCTGATGGGTTTTACTACACCTTTACTTAGCCTTACTGGCAGATGTTTTCGAGCACGAAAAATCAAGTTCCTAGAGCAACAGCGAATATAACTCGCTCCACAAGTGCAGTTGAATTGGTAGATAAAACTAGAAGTGTCTAACCCAAGTACTTCATCTTTCAACCGAGGAATCACCATCGGCCTTTAACAACGCTTATTCATTCATTCATTCACTGTTATGTATATATAACTGTAGAACATGATGATGAAGTTATCGAAAAGAGTATTCTTTGTTCAGTAACCATTCTTTTGAAAAAAGCAGCAATTAAAAATCCACCCAATGCTAATTAGTGGCTGGCTACATTACGAAATTGCCTGGAGTTCTATAATTAGCAGTCATGAACAATATGGTCCACAAGGTCGGGAGTAACTACGGATGCTCATTGATGGCACCAGCTGACGGTGGCTCTAAAAATCGCGAATTAACGTGAGTCAGAGTTCAGTGGATCGTCACATCCCATCCCAGTGACTGAACGATCAGTAGGCTAACCTTGGAACCTCAAGGTTCAGGGTTCAATCCCTTCTGGTGGCGTGATGGTTATGTACTTCTAAGCAGTCTCAAAATAGGATGAAACAGATGTCCAGGACCCCCTCGTTTTCAATAACGTCGAAATAATGTTGAGTCATGACTAAATTGAAATCAAATTAGTTCAGATCCTATAATCCAAATATCAATCTCCGGTTGTACTGCGAAGTCGTGACAAATGGTGTGCACTAAGTGTCCAGGTGAAGTAGATGCTCACAAAAAGGCATTGATTGAGGACAGCGTGGCATCATGAGTTGACACAGTAAGAATTCATATGTTACTGAATCCCAACCAAAGTGGCTGAACGGTGAACGAGCTTAATCTGGTGTCCTCAGAGTTTCGAGTTTAATCCCTGACAGTAAGCTTTCGGGTGCGTACTGTTGAAGAGTCCCTCTAAACTAGACTGAAACCATTCTCCAATGACTCCTTTCGATTTTTAATGATTTCTATACCTAAAGTTAGTTCATAAGGAAATCTGTACACTTACAGGCTTAAGAACTTAAAATTCGACTTCTGATTGGTCAATAGGTAGAACACGTGAGAATCGATAAACAGACATTTCAACAATCACTTTTTAGCATCAGACTATTTAATGGCTGAATTATTTTTGTACAGGTAAGTTATCCATTTACTTAAATAACTCTGTTCAATGCTTAAAAGTCTAATCATAACTATTGTGTGTATTATAATACATTTCATAATTTATGATTATACAGTTGGTTTTGTCTTTATATCAACGTGTAATAATGAATCTACTATGATCAATGAAACTATGAATTGTACACATTCACGTTGGTTGTCTGCACGGGGTTTACCAAATGAATCCCAGTTGGTCAATTATAGAATAAGAAGAGTTCAAACTTTAAAAAATTGTTTCCTTGATTGTCAATCTAATCCTAATTGTCATGCCTATTCATTTCAACTTGTGAGTTCAATAGATTGTTGTGTGAAACTATTGTGCTTTGTTTTATTTTTTTACTTTCTTTGTGTTTATTTGTTGATTGACTGAGATGAAATGTTTAGCGTCTGTTGTCAACATGTCGGCTTCTAGTGTATGACTGTTTCGACGATGTCCAAGCATTTGGCGAATGGTGACCAGCACTGGAATACAGAACATGAGTATCTCTCCACCCCCCATGTGGAACTCATCAGCTAGTCGATGTATCTGCAATTCCCCAGTCAATGATGCTGTTCTCATTGAAACGACAAAGCATTATCTACCAGATAATTTGGGCTACAAGATCCAGTTCTTGTGTTCATTAATTGAACTGAAATGTTTGGCTTCTGTCAAAATGTTACCTTGATTTATATTTTCCATTAAAACTGGAACCAACAGTAGAATACAAAGCTTGATAAATAATCAGATAAAAATGCTAGTTTACGAGAGTTAGTTGGTAGGGAGGGGGTTGATTTGTTTCAAGTTTTATTATCACGTATTGTTATCACTTCAGAGAGCCACGGGAAACCACCACTGAAGTACTGGACAGCTGTTTCATCAGCCTAGTTTGGAACTCATCGGAATGGCAGTCACCTCCCAATCTCAATAATAATGATAATAATAATAACTTCATCGACTTTGAAAAGGCCTTCGACAGCGTCGATCGAGAGGTGCTTCGGCAACTACTTCGCTACTATGGGGGTGCCACCGACAATTATACATCTCATCCAACAGCTGTACGGCAATGCTGCATGCCAAGTAATCCACAACGGGAAACTTACGGAATCCTTCGAAGTGAGGACAGGAGTAAGACAAGCTGGCTGCCTACTATCGCCAATGATTTTCCTGATTTCAGTAGATTGGATAATGCAACAGACAGCAGGCAATGAGGAAACAGGCATAAAATGGACTCACACAAAAAACTTGGAGGATCTGGACTTCGCCAATGATATATGTCTGATTTCCCACAAACTGGAAGATATGCAAGCGAAAAGCAACAAGTAGGCAGAAGAAGCATCCGGAGAAGATAGGACTTCAGGTGAACATATAGAAAACAGAGGTGATGAAGATTCCTGGCCAGCACCACCAACAGCAACAACAACAGACAAAAATCAGCATAAATGGAAGGAACCTGAAAGAAACTATCTCTTTTACCTACCTCGGAAGCATCATTTCAACTACAGGCAAAAGGAACTGACGAGGATATCAAAGCAAGAATCGGAAAAGCAAGACGAACTTTCACTACTCTTAAGTCTGTGTGGAGGTCAGCAACACTCAGCATCAAGAATAAGATCCGGATTTTCAACTCCAATGTGAAGTCAGTCAGTGCTACTATACAGATCAGAGACTTGGCGCGTCATAAAGAGCATCTCAAACGAACTACAGACCTTCATTAACAGCTGCCCTCACTCAATACTCAAGATCAGATGGCCGGTGAGAAAAGATCAGCAACAGAGATCGCTGGCATTGAGCGAACCAACCAGGAACCGGTTGTGAAACAAATAAGCAGGAAGAAATGGAGATGGATTGGCCATACTCTGAGGAAACAATGCACCAAGTGAGATCACTAGACAAGCCATTGCTCGAGTGGAACCCGACTGAACGGGAAGCGGCGAGTTGGGCGTCAGTGCAAGGATGACTTGGAGGAGGTCATGTGAAGAGGAGATGAAAACGTGTGGGCAGACTTGGAGCCAGGTGAAAACGTTTGCAGAGAACCGAACGCAATGGAGACGCACGGCTGAAGCCCTATGTTCCTCTAGGAATTAAAGGAAACAATGATAATAATAATTCCCTTGGAAACCAAAATTAATTAGATCACCACACAATTAATGTGATCTCATTGATACGATGAAGGATAATCAAGAAATCAAGCATAGAGATCACATATTATTGTGATCTAAGAGATTTTGGTTCACAAATGAAACTGTGATTAAATCTCACCGCCTCGTTGAACTGTGTAAACTCCATTGTCATCTAGACACTATTAGAATTGGTGGATTATATTCTGTAAACCGCAGAGGAAATTTATTTAAACAAGACATCAATACAAAGTCCTTTTTCGTGTCAAAGGTCATTGTATCTCAATCGAATACTTAGTACTTAGATACTCCACTCATTTTTATAAGGGTGAAAACAATCACACAGTAATCAGTATTCGTGGGAACAGTGTATTCACCTGTAGGTGAATAGTCCTTTGATCACCATACACGATTCCACTAGGCGCCCACTATCCACTGAATTGTGAGACGCAGCTGTTATCCAGTTCAACATTTCACTACCACTTAAACGCCAAGCAGTATACGCGTCTGCCTGTTTAACACCATCGTTACGTTATTTGTTTTTTAAATGTTTATTTGTATTTTCTGTCAACTGATTATTTTGGGCCAAAGTTTCAGAGTCTCTGTTGATATATTGTCCAGCTGCTACTGCGCACGCTTCAACGATGTTGGAGGATTAACACGATGTTATTTGGTTTAAGAGGCAACTAGCAGAATGGAACCTGCGATGAACACTGACTCTCATATGACATTTGACAGCCAGTCGATGTACCTTCATTTCCAAAGAGTGATGTTATTCACACGGATATTGGAAGCCAGCAGTCATCGTTTGAAACGTCAAGATATTATCCACTAGACTGGCTGGACCACAAGAGTCATCTTTTATCTGAGCAGTATCAGTTATTATTTGTCTAAGACAACTATGTTGTTCATGAAAAATTCCTATTTGAACATTAATAGACAGAAGACAAGTAGTTCAGCGAAGAGTCTCTTTTCGGCGAATTCATTTTCAGAGCTGTACAATCGCAAATATATATGGTTTTTGATTTTGATTGATTGATTACAGCTTGATGCCACACCATATTTTCAGTACAAGTATGACATTTTCAGCATGGATATCGGTAGCCCAAATTTCGCAGGCCGACCATAGATATCAGGTGTGAGTCGGCAGGGGATCGAACCCCTGACCATGTGCATGGTCAGCGAGAGTCCTAACCACTGTGTGTGTACATTAAATTTTTCAAACGAAAATGCAATTAGTAAGTTCAGATGAATTGGATGTTGATATAAGAGAGTAGTAACAAAAGCGATGAGTTGCCACAAACGATTGTTAAAGAAGAGTTGCGTAATAACACGAATAGTTTAATGAAAGGGTGTACATGGAAACAAAATATACGGAATTACACAAGGGTTTTAAGTAGTTAGAAAAATAAGCATACAAACAAAAGTTAAGTCAAATCAAATAAACAAACAAAGAAAAGTTAAGTCAAATCAACAGAGTTGTTACCATGAGAGTAGAAGTGGTTGAATAATTTTCTTTTGTATGCACAGTTCTGGTTCCTCTAGCTTAATGGCTAGGGCTTCTGCGATGCAAAGAAGACGGAATCGTATTGTCTTTGGAAGGTTGTTCTTCACTTTGTAGATTACTTTGAAGCAGGAGGCGTTTGTTGAGATGGAATGACCAGTGTTGACGAGGTGTTCTATTACTGCACTCCTTATGCAGCCATTACTTCCTTTCTGTAGCCACGATGGATAGTGTTCATTGACCCTTTTTGACAGGATACGCGTTGAACGACCGATATACCTAGCTGGCTCCACAGCAACAGGTGAACTGATATATACACATAGAAGTGGTCAGGTGCGGCATCTTTTCCTTTGAGCTTCTGCAGATCAGAGGGTGACTGGTGAACACTACTCTCAATGTTGCCGCAAAGAAAGTTCTTCTTAAACAGGTGGAGATTCTCCTTCTAAGGACGTCACTGAGTAGGTCTCCTTTAAAGTCGAGGTTCATATAAAGTATCTTTTTTGGCACAGATGCTGTTTCTTGCTTTTGGATTTTTGTTTGATGTTTTTGTCCAAGAATCTTGATGGCTAACGTATACATATATAACCATATATATTTGCGATTGTACAGCTATGAAAATGAATTCGCGGAAAAGAGACTTCGCTGAACTGTGTTGTTCCCATCGACTAGTTGGATGGAAGTGTTCGGCCTGTTTTGACATCTTAGCTTTGTTTATATTTTCCACTGTTATCTTTATAATCTCTCTTTAAAAACAAATTTTTAATTCGCATAGTTGAAGCATGACTGAATGTTAGTCAAATTTTAAGTGATATATAATACACTTTTACAAATAAACTCCAACTAGAAACCTGTAGATGAGTTGTGAAAACCAGAAGTTATCCAGGTCATAAAATCCACTGTGATCGTCATTTGATATGTGAATATCGATCAGTTTTATTCATTAGTGTTTAATATGGTCTAATAAAACAATTAGAAATCACAGAGAGATGAAGACGATGCCTGATTAGTGATTTATTGACGGTGTTAATTTACAAGAGTCAGTTTATAAGGATTTGATTTATTTCAAGGTTGATCACTTAGAGAGCTATTGAAAACCAGCTATGGAGTACTGGATAGCTGTTCCATCCTGATTCGGGACCGGATTCGAACCCAGGACCTCCTGGTTACGAGGTGAGTCCGTAGACCGTTCAGCCAATGATCCGCGAATACCAACTTCTACCAATTCGTGATTTTTGGCACGACCTGAAGTTAATTTATCTAATGGTAGCTGAAAGTGGAATCCACAAAAAGCATTTCGCCCTATATCAGAGTCCTCAGCCAGTTCAAATATACGCACATTCCCAGTGAGTGTTGATTTTCCCACTTAAACATGAATCCAGCTTAATCAAACACCAGGAAATGCAAAGATTGACCTAAAAACGAATAACAAAGCTGATATCCATTAAACAAGACGTGGATTTCACTAACCCAACTGGTCTAGTGGATAATGCTTTGGGCGTTTATAACGATGGATTCAAGGTTCGAGTCTCACGGGGGGGGGGGGAATCATCACTCACTGATAATACCACCACACCCACTAGTTGACAAATCTTAAATAGGAAGAAATGTTCATCCTGGGATCCACATTGCTAGTCACCATTCACAAAGTCACATCGTCGAAACGTCCGCAATAGGAGCTGGTACATCAACTGAGACTGTTCAATATAATCAGATAATGAGAACTACAAATTAACAAAAAAACAACAAATACTGTAATGACGACGATAAACAGATAGTCATTCATCACTCAGTCACGCGGTAGATGAGTACAGCTCTTCGCAGTGGCAGTGGAATGATGAACTGGATAATAGCTGAGTCTTACAACTTAGTGAACAGAGTGCTTCGTTAATTATTCAGTAGTCGTTGATTGGTATCGTATGGTAATCAAATGAATATTCACCAACTATTCTTCTGAAGTCTACAGAATTGAGTCCGCCAAATCTAATAAACTCCAGACATTAATGTGAATTACTTTCAAACAGGTCTACTGCTATCGAATTTTCAATCTGTAAATTAATTTACAATTTACACAGTTCGTCGAAGAGATGAGATTTAATCACGGTTTCATTTGTGAACCGAAATCTCTCAGATCACAAAATGTGATCTCTAAAGTACCACGAATGGTATATGTTATGAATGGTGCTGTACTCTCCCCACTTCTCTTTTCTTCCTTTCTACATGACTTATCATCTTCAAATGACATCAATTTTGTCAAATATGCTGACGACCTGACAGTATCTTTGCCTGTCAAATGTCAAAGTGACTGCTCCAAACTAAATGGCTTTTTATCAGAAATCAGCCAGTGGTCCATGGAAAACGGTCTTACCTTGAATCCCTCTAAATATCAAACAGTCAATTTCACCTTTAGGCATAAAGCTGACCTAAACAAACTGGTTAGCACTCACGAGGCGTGCAACATAAATGGCACTTAAATAGAAACCAAATCGGAAATTAAATATCTTGGCGTCATCCTATCTGCTGATCTTTCCTGGTCGTCTCATATCTTGATGATTTCTAAGAAAATATTCCGGCTTACCTTCTACATCAAAAAGTTAAAATATTCTGGTATAACCCAACCTTTACTCCTACAATTCGTTAACTCTTGCATCCTGCCTATTATTCTCTATTGTTCCTCCTTAGTTTTTCCAGGGCTACTGAAGAAGGACTATATCTTGTTACGCAGAGTGTTAAAGGTTGTCAGCATGGTAAGCAATGTGCCACTTAACCAGCCTGTCAATATTCTGGTCGACAGGCACATGGACTCATGTGATAAATGGGCTAAATTCATTCTATCTAACTCACACCACCCTCTTCATTCACAACTCTCCCCTTGCATCTCATCAGTCAAAACCAGAAGCCTATATAGAAAACTATATGCTCTAACCAGCAAGTACAAAAACTCAACCATACCCTACTTAGCTCGTGTTCTATGCGATAAAGAAAGCATTAGGCGTGACACCTATAATTCATTAAATAGTCAGTAGAACAACTGGATCTCGTCTTTCCAACTCTTATCATTTATAGGTCCAACATTTTTTTTCTTTCTTTTCCTTTTCTCTCTTTTGTTTCTTCTTCATTTTTTCCGTCATGTGCTGCTTTGTTTTTTTTCCGCTTACGCCAGTAAATATGACAGCTCCTACTTTTCTAACACCTTCAAACACTGTTCAACTTTGGCTTTACTACCGACATGCCAATATGTTGTTGTCATAATGAACTGAGATTTCCTTAATCTATGTGGAATTTTATTTATTGATAATGTACCAACTGGATGTAATACTGTAGTAAAAATGCTGAGAATTCCATTCTGTATCACAAGTACTGTTTTGGAATAAAGCAAATTATTATTATTATTACTATTACTATACATACATCTATGCTTAATTTCTTGATTATCCCTCATTGCATTAATAAGATCACATATTGTCTGGTGATCTGACTGGCGAAGTTCAACAAAAGCGTCCCAGGAGTGCGCACGCTCCAATGACCTTGAACGCATGCTAATCGTTGGCTGACGGCACCTGTCATTATCATAGCTGAAATATCAACGCTATTCACCAACCAAGCTGCAAATGTGTTAATAGCTCGTAAGGGTTAGGATTAGGGTTAAGGTAAGTATTGAGGTTAGGGTAAGGATCAGGGTCATAATTAGGATTGGGGTGAGGTTTACGGTTAGGATAAGGCTTGTAATTAAGGTTAGGATTACGACTAGGTACAGATTTATAATTGATGTCATTTATCTCAATTTGTTTTATTATTTACATTTTCCTGGTAAGCAGTCTTCCATCCTCTTGCTGAAAACCATAGTAATTCAGCCGAGAGCTTTGGGGAAGACCGCACAACAGGATAATAGAGGTGAATACATGTACAGAAACTGGTCTAACTTAGCAACTGATACTCCTCATTATAACTTGGACGTATTTTTAAGTCATGTCAGAGAAAGATACCCTGTGTAATGTGTTTTCATGAATTTTCTTGTAAATATACGTCATTTTTTGTGCGAAAATTCCTCACTTTTATGATTGGTCGGCTCAAGGTCGGTGCTTTCACACCCTTTGAGACGCTATTGTTGAACTTTGCCATCTGACTAATTTTGGTTTCTAAAGGAAACTGCGGTGAAAAAATCACCTCCTCGAACTGTTTGACTCGTTTATTCATTTACCACTTGCGAATTTAATTACTGATGTTACCAGTTCGCTTAAGTAGTTAGGCAGAAATCTGATGGTTTCAACTGATTCGACTCTCCTCGACCTGAATCAAATTGGGTACGCCATTGAAGAACTTGACCCACGACTGTCCGATGTTTAAGTCACTTGGATGATTTATCTACCAAGTACTATTGGTTGTTGTGATTGGTATACAACTACTCATGTCAGGTAATCAGTAGTATATATAATTTTGTATAATTTATTGACCACTTAGCACACCCACATAAACATCAGTTCTCATATGGAAATATACATGCATTTCATCAGTCTTTCAAGCCTCCTAACCCTACTTGTCTTTCTTGTCTTTTATTAGAATTTATCAACAATATGTAAACTATACGATAAACCTATTGGTCGATCTGTACCAAGAAGTAATCTGACCTCATATCAATTTGGAACAAGAGCATGTTGCAGTAGGTTATCATTTCTTTATCCTGTTATTATCCATCTTTTTTAAAATGTTTTTTTCTCAGTGACAGTTCAGAAAGTATTCAAGATCAGTTGGTGTACTTAGGAGTTTTCTTTGTATTGAATTACTTCAGTAATGTCCTCATTTTTTCCGCCTTTCTCACTATAATACTGAAATAATCATATTCAAGTATTGGTTTGTAGGGGTTTATTTTATTGGTTACAGGACTTCATCATGAGATGACATCGGTTAGAGAATTATTGGAAAACCAGCAGGGAGTATTCGACAACTGTTTCGCCAGCCTAGTTTGGTTTTCTTCAGCAGAATGCATCCACCATCATGGTTCGAACCCAAGACCTAGTTACCAGGCGAGCTCGTAGACCATTGAGTCACTGGGAGCCGATCCAATGTCCATCCCGTAAATTTCAACTTCTCCCAATTCACGCCTTAGCGCGACCACTAGCCAATCTCTTCGGCGAGTATTTGTCCTCAAACCCGACGTGCTGTACCTTACTGTTTACAACTTCCCACCAGAACCCCAGGTATCCGCCCGTCTGAATAGAACCAGTCACTAGTGAGCATCTCATTGATATTCGAGTATCGGTTTGTAGGGATTTGGTTGACTGGCTACAGGATTTCATCATGAGCTGACATCGGTTAGTGAACCACTGGAAAACCAACAGGGAGTACTGGATAGCTGTTTTGCCAATCTAGTTTGGGACTCTTCGGCGCCCACCACAGGGGTCCGAAATGATAATACCGATAAGTAGTAGGCTGATGTAAGCTTCTGCATGCAGTTCACACGTAATTAACCAAATAATTGTAGCAAAAATATGATGCAAGACCCTCAAAACCTAAAATATTCTGGCCTCTTTAGAAGCATAATATAGTGTCGGTGCATCAATATAAACGCGTCGCCTTAAAACCTAACGAACACCCGACAGGCGGTTGCGATGATGAGAATTTTCTTATCGTAGAAGTGGTCAACTAGGTTGTAAATTTATGAATATATATTGAAGGGGTGAGAAAGTTCCTAAACTATTTACGGTCTGGGGTAGAAACCACAATGAATAACTATTTGAAAGTCATGCAATATAAACAGGAAATAAAAATAATAAATAGGAAGTTTGGATGAGAAACTTAAGCGGATTATGTTTATTGAGAAAATCGACTGTTTATATTGATCATAGTAAAGATAAAGGTTGAACGTACTTCTTTTGAATACATAAATAGCGTTGGCTTGAATTTCTCAACTGCCAATGATTCAGACGTCTTGATCTCACAAGATACTATCAAACATCTGGAAGGTAGTGTTCTCACATTCTTTTTGTGTGTTGCTTTGCGGAGATTGAATTAATTTTAGTTGTTGACCACTAAGTGACTTCAGTTAGAGACCAGGGAATACTTGACAGCTGTTTCTTCCTTGTTTAGAACTCTTCACAGTGTCATGATCCAGTCAGGAGTTGCACACAGGACCTTTAAGTTCAAGGAGAGGTAGTAGATCCTTCAGCCACTGGAGCAGGATCTGATGTCTATTCAGTTCTAATTCAGAAGTGACTCACTTCAGAATAAAGTTGTCTCAAGTTCTGTTGGGAAGTCGTGACCAACAAAGAAGACGAAGAAGTTGGGTCTGAGGACAAGTACTTGCCTATAACATTGGATGGCGGTCGCTCTTTATATCACGAACTGGCAGATGTGAGAGTTAATGGGTTAGCCACTGGATTCAGTTCCAGTGACTGAATGGTCTACGGGCTGACCTTGTTACCTCAAGGTCCTGAGTTCAATCTCTAGTACGACCATGATGGCGTACCAGTGAAAAATGTTAAACTAAGGAGGAAAATCTCGCCAGTGGTCAATTGTTTCCCAACAGTTTTCTGATAATGTCAGCTCGTGATGAAATCAAACTTGAAAAAGTTATTTTATTTAACTTTCCATGAAGTAGTTGTTATTGGTAATACTGTTGTTTTTGTTTAAATAACAATAATAATACTGGGAGAAATGCAAGAGAACCTAATTACCAATAGGGAGAAAAAATAAAACAATGAATTGGCTGATCACTTCAAAGGACTCTTGAATCGACCATCACCTACAACTCGTCCAGAAATACCGCCACCATCAACAGCATGCACAGTATTCCTTGCCAGTGAACACCAATCCTCCAACGGAAACAGAAATCTCCAATGAGATCAAGTTACTGGAACCCAACCAGGAAGGCAGCAGGACCAGATAAAATTCTCCCGGAAGCACTAAAAACAGACCCAGAGACTGCTGCAGATGTGCTCACGCCATTGCTGGAAAATCTTTGGAAGGAAGGAAAGGCGCCTACCGATTGGAAGAAATAAAATAAAATACTAAGTCGCATCATCATGGAGTGAATAAAGGATGCACTGGATGCAGAACTCCGCCCCCATCCTAGAACAAGCTGGGTCAGGGAAAGGCAAATCACGTGCCCATCAAATTGCAACTCTACGCATCATCATAGAACAAAGAATAGAATGACAGTCAGACCTGTACCCCAACTGTATCAACTTCGAAAAAGTTTTCAACAGACAGCGTTGTCCGATAAGTAATTTGGAAACTGCTTCAACGCTACGGCGTGCAATGACCAAGTCTTTATCAGACTCATTCAACAGCTGGCTATATGGCAGTGACACGTGTCAGGTGATCCACAAAGGAAAACTCAACGAGGCGTTTGAAATGTATGCAGAAGTAAGACAGGGCTGCCTATTATCACCGATGGTATTCCTAATTGTGGTAAACTGGATTATGCTGGAGACTGTGCGTGGGGTCGAGATGACAGAAATATGCTGGATCAATAAGAAGACTCTAGGAAATCTGGATTTCGCATATGAATGATTTATGCATAATGTCACTCAAACTTGAAAATCTACGGGCGAAAACAGCAAGTTAACAGAAGTGGATGGCAGAGACAACGAGATTTCAGGTGAACAGAGAGTAGACAAAGGTGATGGAGATAACCAACCAACCAACAACAACGACAGGCGTCAATCACTGTCAACGGAAGTAATATCAAGAAGGTCACTTCCTTCGCTATTTTTTCAACTACAGGCGGTAGCATGGATGAAGATGACAAAACCAGAGTCTGAAAAGCAAGGCACACTTTCATTGACCTAAAATCAGTTTGTAAATCTTCTTCACTCAGCCTAATGAAAAGGAATCGGATTTTCAACACCAAACATATGTTAGTCAGTGATTCTATATGGGTCAGAAACTTGCATTACGCGTCCCGAAAAGCATTTCAAACAGCCTACTGCAGACATTTATCAACAACTTTCGTCAATGATTCCGAACCGGTTATCAGATGACTGGCCAGAAAGAATCAGAAACAAGCCATAATGGGAACACACTAACCAAGGACCTTATTAGTTTGTTTATTAGATGTATCACACAGTCACTAAAACAGCAATATTATTTACTGGATGACGTTTCGAACAATATATTGCTGTTCATAATCATATCAATTGTAATCACACGACTTTGAAACTTGAGTTTTATAGTTTCCTTGTCCTCTCCTATTTGTCGGCATTGGGGTACTAGAATTTTCCAGATATCTGGGACAGGTGATGAATCATTCCTATTACATGTATTTGCAAGATGGCACCAACAATAAGGAATCTAAATCATAAGTAGTAATTCCATACAAGGAAGGAACCTCGGAAACCATACGCAGAATTCCTAAAAAGGCAGGAATGAAAGTGACTGGCTGGCATTCAAACCCACAAACTCAATTAGAAACAAGCTTTGTCGGTTAAAGGATCAATCCTGTGGAGCCTGTAAAATAAAACAATTTAGTTTATCTAATACCCTGCCTGAATGATTGTTAGGTCAAATACATAGGTCAGACTAGTAGAACAAGGGCAGTCAGACTAGTGGAGCATAAAAACTTAGCATAATCTAGATTGGTTGACCCGAATAAGATAAGAAATCTAGAGAATAGTTCAGCTAATAGCACTCACTACATGCAATTACACACAACCATGAAATAGGATGGTATGCGATGACAATTTTAAAATCTAATGTCACAGAGTGGAGGGAGGGAGAGATTGTTAACAGAAGGTTTGTTTATCGAATCAACTGCAAAAACGTGTATTAGGAATGACTCAACACCTGTGGCAGATATCTGGAAAATTCTATTAACCCTACGACAACTAGAAGAAGACAATGAAAACTATAAAACTGAAGTTTCAAAGTCGTGTGATTACAATTGCTATGATTATGAACAGCAATAAATTTTGTTCGAAATCTCGTCATCCAGTAAATAATATTGCTGTTTCAGTGACTGTGTGATACATCTAATAAACAAACTAATATGGAATTACTTACTACCACAGTGACCAAGTTTTACACATATATTAATAACCAAGGACCTATCGCTCATAAAGTATGTAGGGGGAAAGTGGAGATGGATTGGGCAGACACTGAGGAGGCTGTCGAATATAATCATGCGCCAAGCCGTCTCTGTGGTTGAAACCAAACGGAAAAGGATGAGATGGGAGTACGAAGGTGACATTGAGGAGATTATGTTAGAAGGAGGAGGTGAGAGACTATGAGAAATCGCAGCGTCATCCAAAGAGGAAGGCAGAAAATATAAAATAGTGGAGATCTTCTACTGGAGCTCAGTGCCCTACTTGGAACCCATGGGAACAATAATTATAATAAACAGGAAAAATGGGAAAATTTCAGAATTTTACAACCAATTCACGATGACCAAGGTAAGATAACCAGTTGTACAAAGTGCCTTTCTGAACCTATAATTTAGGCTTATTCATATGGATTCCGATGGCTTCAGCTGTGTGTATAAGACGAACTCGCAGGGCAAAATTAAGATTAATTGGAATATGATAGATAAATTTTAATGCTTTTTTAACACCGACTTTATGTTTATGTGAGCTAAAACGGAGCCACGAAAGGATGTTGCTTGTCTCATGCTTAACCATGCGAGACGACGTTTAGAAATTCGATGACGAATATAGCTGATTGTGCGCTTAATGTTGATACTGAACAAAAAGTTGGTTTAAACGAGACATTTAAACCTGTCTACCGTATTCCGAAGGTTGATCTTAAGTTTCCTTACGAGTTCGTCTTCTACATATAGCTGAATTCTTCGTAATCTACATGACAGAAAAGTCAAACTTATGTGTTCAGACAGATTCTTTGTACAGCTGCTTTCCTTACCTTGGTCATCATTATTTGAATGTGGAAATCTGATAACTTCCCATTCTAAATGAACAAAAATGGCCATAAGAAATTTCAAAGAACTGATTACTGAACAAAGAATATTCTTTCCGATAACTTCCTCTTTAGGTTCTACAGTGATAAATCCATAATAGTGAAAGGAATTTAATAAGGACACTCAGCTACAGGGTTAGAATTACATGCTCAGAAGATGTAATTGAGGATGAACTTAGTATTGTGTATGACACCTTAATTGAAAATAGCTACCTTGACAAATTTATCAAGAAACACATGACCAAGAAGGTAGAAAAAGACTTCACTATCCGTAGACAAGAAGCGTCGGTGGCATGGCGGTCAGGACGCTCGCCAACCATGCACATGGTCCGGGGTTCGATCTCCGGCCGACGCACTCCTTTACCTCGTTAAGCCAGAACTGAAGCTGGTGAAGAGGATAGGTTGGGCATGAGGCTGGCAACCCCATCCTGTAAAAATAAACACTGCTACAGAAACTTCAATCCACTAGCTTGAAGCCCTATGTTTCACTGGGAAAGTGAAGGAAAAACAAAACAAGAAGCCTTTATATATACGACTGCAATTCAAGAGTGTCGTACTGAGTGAAATAATTACTGACAAGTTAAGAAAATCCATTCAAAGAATTTTTAATGTGGGCAAACTACAAGTCATGTTGTCTACAGGACCGATGGTCATTCCTCAATTGAAAGATCAATTACCTAGACTAACCACTTCCAAATGTATCTGCACTTCAGCTGCTCCTGTCGTGGAGGGAGTTATTTTGGATGTTCCTATAGGAACTTGATTTTTCGTGCTCGCTCGAGAATATCTACCAGTGTGGCTAAGTGAAGATGTAGTAAAAACTGTCATCAACAGTTCGATATTAGACCACCTGGTCCAAAGTGACGGGTAACAAAACCAGCATCTATCGGGTACCACATAAATGCCGAATTCATCAAGGTACTGCATGCTCCAAACAGCAGAGGCTATCGTGAGTCACATGAAACAACCAGATCTTTGTGTGCAAAAGTAGTTAATCCAACCACTCCTACTGCCCTTGCCAGCCTTCAGTAGAGACTATAAATTCATGAATTTGTATTATTACCTTTCCTAATTTCTCTGTCTGATATTCAGTGTATTGTTATATTGACGCTATTGAACTGTAATCTATTCATATTGTTGATTGATTCGATGTTATTTTAATAGCATTGATGTTGTTCATAACACTAATTCATTCATTCACTATTATGCATATATAACTGTAGAACCTGATGGAGAGCAGGTTATCGAGAAGAATATTCTTTGTTCAGTAGTCAGTCTTTTTAGATTCCACATTCCTTGTAAGTTATAGAAAAGGGGCAATTTTCGCAATACTACTGTGATTTGTTGAAATGACTACCAGTTGACTGAGTCTTACTCATATCTTAACTGTCATAACATACACGAGATACTAATATATGTTTGTTTGTCATTTTAATTCCTAATTGTAATTTTTTATTAATTTGACCCCTAACCAGAAATTATTCTGGAACTTTCCTATCCATTTGATATAAATACACGAATGTACAGCCTACATGATGACTTCGTCGAAAAGAAAATTTTCTTCGCTGCAATTGTCTTTTTATTAACTACTAATTTATGTGTAAAACTTGGCCACTGTGGTAGTAAGTAATTCCATATTAGTTTGTTCATTAAATATATCACACAGTGAAGAAACAGTATTATTTACTGGATGACGAGATTTCGAACAAAATTTATTGTTCATAATCATTTCATCAATTACAATCACACGACTTCAAAACTTGAGTTTCATAGTTTTCTTCGTCTTCTCCTATTTGTCGTCGTAAGGGTAGTAGAATTTTCCAGATATCTGGGTGGACAGGTGATGAATCATTCCTATTACATGTATTTGTAGTTGATTCGATAAACAAAGCTTCTGTTATGAATCTCTCCCTATACCCTGTGACATTAGATTTCAAAACTGTCATCCTATCCCATCCAGCCTATTGTATGGTTGTGTGTGACTGACTGCATGTAGTGCTATAGCTGAACTATTCTCTAGATTTCTTATCTTATTCGGGTCAACCAATCTAGATTTTGCTAAGTGCTTATGTACAGCTAGTCTGACTGCCCCTGTTCTACTTGTTTGACCTATGTATTTGACCTGACAATCATTCAGGCAGGGTATTAGATAAACTAAAGTGTTATGTTTTAAAGGCTCCACTGGCATGATCCTTTAACCGACAAAGCTTGTTTCTAATTGAGTTTGTGGGTTTGAATGCCATTTTTATTCCTGCCTTGTTAAGAATTCTGCGTAAGGCTTTCAAGGTTCCTTCCTTGTATGGAACTACTACTGATGATTTAGATTCCTTATTGTTGGTGTCGTCATTAATATTATTATTATAATCACTATTATTATTATTATCATAATTATTGTTATCATTATTATTGTTATTATCACTACCGCTACTATCATTATTTATCCTATTTTTACATTTCCTTACTAATTTATCCTGGTAATTATTAAGTTTCAAAGCTTCTTTTATGTGTATCAGTTCCTGTTTTAGATTTTCCTGAGTACTACTTAGTTTCTGTGCTCTCTCATTTAAACATTTCATTCATTCAAACTCACAAACTCAATTAGAAACAAGCTTTGTCAGTTAAAGGATCATGCCAGTGGAGCCTTTAAAACATAACACTTTAGTTTATCTAATACCCTGCCTGAATGATTGTCAGGTCAAATACATAGGTCAAACAAGTAGAACAGGGGCAGTCAGACTAGCTGTACATAAGCACTTAGCAAAATCTAGATTGGTTGACCCGAATAAGATAAGAAATCTAGAGAATAGTTCAGCTATAGCACTACATGCAGTCAGTCACACACAACCATACAATAGGCTGGATGGGATAGGATGACAGTTTTGAAATCTAATGTCACAGGGTATAGGGAGAGATTCATAACAGAAGCTTTGTTTATTGAATCAACTACAAATACATGTAATAGGAATGATTCAACACCTGTCCATTCAGATATCTGGAAAATTCTACTACCCTTACGACGACAAATAGGAGAGGACAAAGAAAACTATAAAACTCATGTTTCAATGTCGTGTGATTACAATTGATATAATTATGAACCACAATAAATTTTGTTCGAAACGTCATACAGTATATACTAATACTGTTTCACTGTGTGATATATCTAATAAGCAAACTAATATGGAATACACGAAATACTAATTGTCAATGAATTCATTCGTATTGTTTTCTTCTTTTCGTATTCTCTTCCAATTAGATATCAGTAATGACTACATGGTGCTGGTATTTTGTTCACCATGCAGTTACTGTCAAAATGTGATAAACTGTAGTGCAACGAGATGGGTTGGTCGTCCAGGATTACCAGTAAAGAGTTTCATCGCCAATTATACACTGGCGGTGGTCAATACTACAAAAAGCTGCCTAGATGAATGTCAACTAAATACACAATGCTTTGCATATTCCCATAGTTTGGTAAGTAAGTTGAATGTATATTTATCGGTGATAATATTCAGAAAAGTTTTTTTTGGTGAGAACGGAAAAAGCTGGAAAAGTCATGACCAGTGGGATGCACTAGGTCGGATTTGAGGAGAAATACTCGCCGCTGATGACGCTGACTAGTCGTCGTTCTTTATCGTGAATTGGAAGAAGTTGCAATTCCCGGGCTGGTCATTAGATTTGTCTAGTCACTCGCCTTGTAACCGGAAAGTCCTGGGCTGGAACCTTGGTGGGTGCGTTTTGATAAGAAGTCCCAAACTAGGATGAAACAGTTATCCAGTATTCCTTGTTTGGTTTTCCAATGGTTCTCTAACCGATATCAGCTCACGATGAAATCCTGTGATCAATCAGATCCTCTCAAATCAACACTTAAATTTATATTTCTGATCGATTATGCGGTTACTTTGATTACTTCTCCTAGCTTACCACTTCAATACTTTATTAGCCGGTCCTAGTCGTTGAAAATGAGGGAAGGTTGGGCGTGGGGCTAGTGATCCTGCCCGGGGAAATCAACTCAATCACCACAGAAAACTCAGCTTCAAGAAAAAGTATTACACCTATTCTTTTCTGCAATCTGGGCGACGAAATGACACGGACTGCTGAAAGCTTTCAGGAATCCAGACAACCGATATATCATCTTTCTACGATAGCAAAATTGAGTATATGGGACATGAAATGTCCACATAATGTTTGAAACTGGCTAGCAAAAGTGTTCAGATTGCCAGAAAGTTGAGAACTTATGGTATAAAAGTGCTCGGAATCTATGAGAGCAGTGGAATCGAAGTGGACTCTCCAAATTGTTAACTGGAGAGTTAATAATCTACTCCTCCTCTCATCCAGACGACAAACAGGAGAATATCGAGAGAGTGGACATTTTAGTGTTACCAAGTGAAACCAAAACGCTTATGCTGTGGAAACCAGTCTCCTCTTTCAGGATCATAACAGCAATATTCAACTAGAAAAGGAAGAACAGTTACAATTACCTAATGCTACGCTCTTACAAATACTGCGTGTCAGGTATTAACTCGAGTGGGAGCTGAATGAGATGAGACCAGTTAGCCGTGGATCTGCAGGTTATACGGACAAGATCGCGAGAGGAGCAGATGAGACTTTATGGACGGTCGTAGAGCCGCCTGCACAGAGAAGGATGAAATGAAGATGAGCTGCTGATACCATCTTCATTTCAAATAAGAATTAGGTCTAAAGAATCCAATTTCATTCAGCATCTCATATTCACGTGTTAATGTTATATTTAGTTGAACTAAATGAAATAGTTTGAGTGAATCATTTGATGGATTGTCACTGTAACATTATAATAAGCGTAACATCGACATGTCTTAAATACATTTTCATCTTTGCTTGAACATCATGCATCTAGTTCTTCGTTTAATGCAGACTGGATTCTATCACTAGTGAAGTTTTCAGTGTGACCACTATTCTAGGTGGCTTGCCACTTTGAATCGTTTTTGTTCGATGGTCAGAGGCAGTCAGCAGGAAGCCTTAGACCTAAGTTTCGTGTGGGAGGCGTATCTACAATCTTGAAGGAAAGCATGCCCCCTTCTGACTGACAAAATTCAGTCTAAACCAACAACGAGGATTCCACGCATAACACTAGTTACTGTCTAGTGTCCAAAGTAAAAAAATGCACATTTCAGACCTAAAGGTGGTGAACTGCCATCCCCAGTAGCTCCAGTGGTAACGTCTCTTACTGTAGCAATAGGCGATGTGGGTTCAAAACTAAGTGGAGACATAAATTCCTTCGAGGGAGCAGATATGCCTCGCTGACTGGTGACTGCCAACAAAGAAGAAACTTAGGTGCAGTCAGGGCTTCTTTTCAATCACATCCAACGATCTCACATAACTGTTTTCTGTCTCCTTGCATCATTTCGCTTAGTGGCATAGCGGTTAGGGCGCTCGCTGACCATGCACATGGTTCAAGGTTCGATCCCCGGCCGACAAGGTACTCCTTCACCTCACTAAGTCAGAAATAAAGCTGGTAAAGAGGAAAGGCTGGACATGAGGCTAGCAAGTATAGATTTGCGCGGATCTGATTGATCGATTACAGGATTTCATCATGAGCTGGCTGACTTCGGTTAGAGGAACATTGGAAACCAGGTCATACTGGACAGTTGTTTCGTCCTAGTTTCGAACTCTTTATCAGTTCGCACCCACCGCGGTTCAGATTCAGGACTTTTCGGTGACAAGGTGAATGACTAGACCATTCAGCCACTGGGACCTGATCCAATGGCATAGCAGCTTGGGCGTGAGTACAAATACTCGCCAAAGACACTGGTTACTGGTCGCGCTTTGTCATGAAATGAAAGAAGTTGGAATTCGTGGGCTTAGTGGTCTACTAACTCGCCTCGTAACCATAAGGTCTTGGCTTCAAACCCTTTCGTTGGGTTAGTTCTGTGAAAAGTACGAAACTAGGACGAAACAGCTGTCCAGTACTCCCTGCTGGTTTTCCAATGGTTCTCTAATCGACATCAACTCATAATGAAATCCTGTAACCAACTCTCACTCTGTTCAATTCGTCGTATAGCTTTATCGTTAATCAGTGTCTTCAATAAGTCATTGAATGTTTAGCAAGCTAACCTTGCCTTTTGAAGGTTCAGGATCGTGAGTGCGAACTGATGAAAAGCCCCAAATTATTGGACGAAACATCTATCCAGTACTTCCTGTTGATTTTCAATGATTTGTCATATCGATATTAGTTTGTAATGAAATCTTCATTCCGTTTGCTCTATATCCCTACGAAAAGCCTCATAATTTAAATCATTATTAATGAAAAAAATCGATAATTTCTGATTTTATTTCCCTATTCACAGAATGCGTCAACACAATGCACTCTTTACAACAGGACAATTAAAAGAGTTTCAGATGATCCGGATATCTTATTGTCATATGCATATGCAACCATGGATTGCTGTTGTAGGTTTTCGCCGGGGGCGGGAGTTTCTTTATTAATAATTTTTCGTATGTTTTTTAAATTCATTTTTATGCTTTAGTGAATAAACCACTACTAATGATAGGAATTAACAACATGATGTCATATACTACTGACTAGTTATTTGAAATAAGTAGTTTGTAACCAATTATGTCAACGATATCTAAGGGTTAACATGAAGTAATTTTTCGATGGTGACTAGCAGTAGAATCCAGGATGTGTATTTCGTTGTATCTGAGATCTGTCAGATGGATTATATCTTCAATCTCACAGCAGGTGATAGCGTTCCCCACTAGGTATCAAACATTCCGGTTCAGCCAATCGACGGGAAAATCAAAATTGAAATGGAAAATAAGTAACAATTGTTGGCTGTTGCATAAGAGGTGACTCTGGTGACCCAAATGGTCCAGTATATAACGCTCTCATGGGAACACCATCAGTCACTGGGGGGGGGTAGATTGCAGGTACATCCACTATCTAACGAGTCCCTAAAGGGGACGAAACACACTTTCTGAATCCCACTAATACTAATCACAATCCACCAAATTAAAACAGAATGAAATAATTTAATGATTCAAGAGATATGGTGAGGAAATGTAGCAGTTTTTTATTAAAATGTGGGTCTGCAGAGTGCGTTGTTTTCTCTCTCCCGCTTTGCGGACAAGAGTTGTCATTAGAAAGGATAAATCATTGAGTAATTTATGAAACTTTGCTGATAATGAAGATAAACTGGAACAGTTCCACAGTCATTTCTCAAGATTAGAGGAAATAATTCTTTTATATTGTTGTAAAGACAGGGAAGACCAAGGGCGAAATAAGAACATAACATAGTTTATCCATCTAAGCTTATCCCAATGATACTTTTGTGCTTAATTATACACTGAATGAAACAAATCATGTTTAAATGAAATATTCACGTTGGTGACACAGCGGTAGAATGCTTACCAACCACGCGGGTGATTCGGGGTTTGATCCCCGGCTGACGAGGCACCCCTTTATCTAACTAAGCCAGTAGTAATACTGGTAATGAGGGATGGCTGGGCATGAGGCTAGCAACCCCATTCCGTAAAATGAAGCACCACTGAACTATGTTCCACTGAGAGCGTAAAGGAATAAAAAATGAAAGATCCAGTTAAAAGAATCAGTTTGAGTTTCCGTTACAGTTTTAAAGTCAGTGGTTGAAGGGTTAGAAGCCCAACTAGCCACGTGACTTGTACTGGTTCGACTCCCAGTTGACTGACTTCTAAACCTTATCTAGCCTCTAGTAAGCCTGAGAAAGGGGGAAAATGATTAGGCGTAAATGTAGTATCACTCCAAAAGCACTACTGAAAATTCTAAGCTTAGACTTTGAAAACCTAATAATAATAATTTGCTTTATTCCAAAACAGTACATGTGATACAGAATGGAATTCTCAGCATTTTGTTTACTACAGTATTACATCCAGTTAGTACATTATCAATAAATAAAATTCTACATAGATTAAGGAAATCTCAGTTCATTATGAGAACAACATATTGGCATGTCGGTAGCAAAGCCAAAGTTGAACAGTGTTTGAAGTTGTTAGAAAAGTAGGTGCTGTCATATTTACTGGCGTAAGCGGAAGAAAGAAACAAAGCAACACATAACAGAAAAAAGAGAGAGAAAAGGAAGAGAAAGAAAGAAAACGTTGTACCTATATATGATATGAGTTGGAAAGACGAGATCCAGTTGTACTACTGACTATTTAATAAGTTATACATGTCACGCCTAATGCTTTCTTTATCGCACAGAACATGAGCTAAGTAGGGTATGGTTGAGTTTTTGTACTTGCTTGCTAGTGTGAGCATATAGTTTTCTACATAGGCTTCTGGTTTTGCCTGATGAGATGCAAGGGGAGATTTGTGAGTGAAGAGGGTGGTGTGAGTTAGATAAAATGGATTTAGCCCATTTTTCACATGAGTCTATGTGCCTGTCGACCAGAATATTAACAAGTTGGTTAAGTGGCACGTTGCTTACCCTGTTGACAACCTTTAACATCCTGCGTAATATGTTATAGTCTTTCTTCAGTAGCCCGGGGGAACAATAGAGAATAATAGGCAGGATGGGAGAGTTAACGAATTGTAGGAGTAAGGGAGGGAGGAAGTAAGGGGGAGAGAGATGCAGAGTTTACAGTTTTATATGAAATGCCTCACTAATCTTTTTGTTTTTCTGTCAAACTTCCACAGAATACATTCTGAATAAATAATTACTCAGTTTTGTGTGTGTGCATGTGTGGTTATTTTAACATAAAGTTTTATCGATAGTATATTTATTTCTCAATGAGCTGTATTCACATCTATTCTTATACCATTTTATTTTATATTCATAGACACATCTTAACTTGATATTTAATTGTACATATATTCCAATGATTGGTGTAAAATAAAGTTATTTTGTTAATTTAAAATGCTTCTTTGTAAATACATATTTGTTACTCAAATCAAAAGATTCCCTTCTATAACTGATTTGTTTCTTTACATTATTACAATTACTGAAATGAATTGTATTCGGTATGAGTATGATTCGACTGAATCCTGCTTCTTCTTCTCTGTAACTAGTCATACATATGTATTTTTATTATTATAATTAATAATCTCTACTTTCCTCCATTTTCAGCTATCCTCTTCAGCTAGTTAGCTCCACAATTGACCATAATCTCTCATCTTCTCATCCAACACACAAGGTCTCCTCTATGTCACCCTCTCACTGATGACCGACTCGTCGCATGCTTCCCAATGAGATTCCACTCGAGCGATTGCCTCTATTGCGCGCGATGTCATTCAACGGTCTTTTCAATATATGGCCGGTCAATCCATCTCCAATTTCTCCTACATATTTGTTGGGCGATCGCCTCTTGCTTGGTTTGTTCCACTGCAGAGTTTCTTGTTGCTAATTCTTTCTGACCACCTGGCTAGTGAAGATGGCTGCTATTGATAAAAGTCTACAACCTGTTGTAAATCCTCTTCTTTACACGCCAAATTTATGATCGGTATAGAAAAACTGACTAACTTCACATTGTGTTGAATAGAATTCGAATCTTGTTGTTTATGCGGAGGCGGAGTGCAGTGCAGTGCAGTGCGGAAGATTTCCAAACTGGTTTCAGGTTGATGATGGTGTATCTTGCCTTTCCTATTCTGACCGGGTGGCTTTGACATTTTCATCCGTTCCGACTGTCTGTGGTTGAAACAATTCTGGTTGCCTAGGTAAGTGAAGGCAAGAAGTAACCTCTGTCAAATCTCTCCCGTTGATGGTGATTGGTGCTGGTTGTTGTTGATGATGGTGGTAGTGATGGTTGGTTATCTTCACAACATCCGTCTTCACCTACTGTATGTTCACCTACAAGTTTTTGAGTTTATGTGACATTAAACATAAATGATCCCCACTCGAAATCCAGATCTTCTAGAGTCTTCTTATCGGTTCATAGTATTCCTGGCTTCTCGCTTCACACACAGTCTGACGAATAATGTTAGTGGATGACACAGGATAGAATCTGAGAAGAGGGAAGAGTTTCTTTAAGGCTGCAAACACGCCTTACTGACTGGTGAGTGCCAACAGGCATGAAATCTGCATTCAGGAATTCCCGTCAATTGCCTTCGTCAGTGGTTTAGTATTGGTAGAATGTTGGCGTCAAATACAAACTTAGTACAGTTCGATTCCTGACCGGCGCATACCTAAACCTCCCTTAGCTGATAGCGAGTTCGGTGGAGAGGAATGTTTGAGTATGTGGCTAGGTTGGCAACCCCATCTTGCATAAATAACACAACCGTCACTAAAACAGTATGCTGGATTTCTGTAAGTCACGGTATGTATCAGAATGTCATTTCACTTGCGTGCATGATAAGGAATTTTCAATCAGCGCTCAGATGGAGGAGTAAGTAGCTGAAATGACTATTGATTCAGCAGCTGACTCACATATACGATCAAGTTCCACAGGAGGTTAGTGGTAATCCTGTTCTGATTTCAACACTGACTGTTAGAATGCACAAAACTCAGATAAGGTTTGTGATCTAATCCGGACAAAAATGTCCATTATAACTGCTTCTAGTCTCACCTGATGTGATGGAATGGGAGAGTTATCTATATAAAGAGGATGCTCAGGAACCGATAAGAGGATGTTCTTCAATTTCTTTCATGAATAAAAGTGTTTATCTACAACAGTTTTAACGAGTTAGTTTAACGACACTCCACTCTCCATACTTATAGCTTTTAGTGTCCCTCTCAGTGCAATAAAATCTTTCTTAATTAACCCAGGAAGGATTAAAAGGGAGGACTAACCCTGAATAGGTGGAATACAAGAATTAACAAACTATATGCGCGGAGACTGAGAGATGCCAGCGCGTCTTAACTGCCTTACACAGAAGGTGTAGGGGACTTTATAACGAGCCAAGTACCAAAACAGATATTAGAATAAAAATACAAGTTATGTATTATAAAAAATACAATTAATGAGTTATACAAATTTATGGTTACTTGACGATACAGTTAAAGTCCGCTGCTAAAAATTATTAATGTAATCCACAGTAGTGTTCACTGCTTGAGTTGTGTCTACTAGTAAAAACTGTGCACCGGTTGTCGAACAGCCTTCGAATGAGGTTGGGAGGTTCCTGCAAAATCCAATGGAAACAACAGGGTCAGTAGTGAATCAAGTAGAGAGTATGAACCAGTGGGAAGACGGACAGCCGACCAACTCACTCTATTTTAGATTGTACTCCGAAGTTATCTATATTTTACAATGAATTGTTTCAAACAAAAATTGTGCACAATGTTCCCAGTTTTAACCTCTAACAAAAGCTGTACAATCATATTGTTCCAGACTCCACAAAGGTTAGACGGAAACATCTTTCAAGAAACTAACATGACATGGGAGTATCATAGAAAGGACGTAATTCAAGGTATTTAGCACTCGACTTTATTTCAGTCTCATTGCCTTCTATGATAAAAGAAAAATGAGAACGAACCGGTTGATGTTAATTAATTTTGTGTTAGAAAGTTAACTAAACAATCTTACAGCTGGAGGAGTTTAGCTTGAAATCATTCGATAAGGACCATTAATCAAATCTATGTGGAGTTTTCCGGATCATCTGATCATCAGAGGTACGTGCATACATTCTTCTGGAAAGACTTCTTGTTTTACCTGAGGAGACACAAAGTTGGAGCTGCAGGTAGAGTGGG